CCCCAATCATCCCACCTACCCATCTCCCTCGGCAATGGGAAGAGGACGTCGAAGCCGTCGGGCAGCTCGATGGCGGTGAGGAAGCGGACGTGGCCAGTGTGACCCGGGGAGAGCCCCACCAACGCCGGGGCCGCCTTGGCCGAGACGGCGAGGGTCAGCACCACGCCGGCGCTGGTCCCGATCCACAGCAAGTCCTTGCACACCAGGAGAGCCGTGATCCGCAGGCAGGCTGCCTTGTGCTGCCGGATAATGGCATCCGAGCCTGTCGAGCACCCCAGCCGTCAGCGTCCCTCCCTGCCTGGCACGGGGCTGTGAACCCCACCCATGCCACCGGTCTCCGTTCCCAGGGGTATCCGGGGGATGTGGGACGCGGGGAAGGGACCCCACAACCCCCCTGGCTGGTATAAGGCACCCTTGGGTGCTGCCAGATCGGGCTGCCTGATTTCCCCATGGGATTATGCAGTTACCCAAGGGCTGCCCTATTCCCACATGGGATTATGAAGCCATTCAGGGGATTCCCTATTACCCCGTGGGATTATGCAGCTGCCCAGGGGTTTCCCTATTTCCACGTGGGATTATGCAGCAACCCAGGGTATGCCCTATTACCTGATGAGATTATGCAGCTGCCCAGGGGCTGCCCTATTTCCCCGTGGGATTATGCAGCTGCGCAGGGGCCGCCTGATTTCCGCATGGGATTATGCAGCCACCGAGGGGCTGCCCTGTTTCTGCGTGGGATTATGAAGCCACCGCAGCCACCGAGGGGCTGCCCTGTTTCTGTGTGGGATTATGAAGCCACCCAGGGGCTGTTCTATTACCCCATGGGATTATGCAGCTGCCCCAAGGGCTGCCCTATTTCTACGTGGGACTGTGCACTCGCCCACGGGCTGCCCTGTTCCTGCACGGGATTACGCATCCACTCAGGGGCTGCCCTATTTCCACGTGGGATTATGCAGCCACCCAGGGGCTGCCATATTAACTCATGGGATTACGAAGGCACCCAGGGGTTGCTCTGTTTCCCCGTGGGATTATGCAGATGCCCAGGGGCTGCCCTATTCCTGCGTGGGATTATGCATCCAACCCAGGAGCTGCCCTATTTCCATGTGGGATTATGCAGCCACCCGGGGGCTGCCCTATTCCTGCGTGGGATTATGAAGCCATCCAGGGGATTCCCCGTTACCCTGTAGGATTATGCTGATGCCCAGGGGATGCCCTGTTTCTGCATGGGATTATGCAGCTGCATAACACTGAGGACGAACCCCATGAGCGTGACAAGTCGGGTCTCCTTCCCCGACGCTGGTTGGGATGCAGGAGATACTAAATTTCCCAGCGCTGGATGCTGCGGGGCATCGCATTTTCAAGGCAGACGACGGGCACGCGTACCCACTGGAGACAGCGACGGGCACCCACCGGAGATCTGCCACCGGTGGGACTTACCGGCGAGCATCTTGTGTACCGGGGGGGTGATATCCGCTTCGGCCAACTGCTCGTAGCTGGTGGCGTGGTAAAGCCGGACCTGGGCGCTGCTCTGCAGCGCGACCCACACGCCGGTCCCCGCGCTCACCATGCAGGTGACGCTGCGCCCGCCGTCCTGTCCCACCTGGAGCGTGTGCTGCGGGTGACAGAGCCACAGCGATGCCACTAATGATGCCACCAATGCCCATCATCGTCCCTCCGACCTCCCGCCCTCGCCCACGGTACCTCTTGCGCCAACGTGGCGGTGTTGAGGACGATGACCCGGTTTTGGCAGCCGCACCAGAGCTTCCCCGCCACCGCCACCATCTTGGTGATGGGGCTCCCTGGCGAGCCCAGGGAGAGGGATTTGGAGTTTTGCGGGTCCCAGAAGCGGCCTGTGAGGGTGGTGGGAGCGGGTGGGTAGTTAAAGCATCCCCAAAAAACCCCATCTTGACCCGGCCGATGGGATACGGTGGCTGGAGACGCCCATCTCCAGGTCTCCCGTTAGAGGAGACGTGAGCTGATGTCCCCAGGGGATGCCGGCGGCAGGCGGGGACCAGGAGGAGGATGCACGCCTCCACCTGGCTCTGATTTTGGGGTCTCCAGCATCGCTTGAGGGATGTCCTTTCCCTTCCCATGGAGGCAGAGAAGCCGCCGGCACCCTGAGCATCCTTCCCTGGAGGGCTGCCCAAGCACCCACCCAACAGCTGCCGCTTTGGGGCTGCATTTAACCCCCCCAGCGCCCTTTGATGGCCCCGATCCGGCCTCACCTGCCTCCCGCTGGTACGCAACGAGCTCCCCGTTGGCCAACGACACGAAAACCTGATTATCCAGGTACCTGTGGGGAGAAAAACCCTTGGACAACCGGTCGCAGAGCCCCACTCAGCCACCCCAAACCACCTCACTGTGGACATGCCGGAGCCGAAAATCTTCTTCCCCGCTTACAAGATGCACATGACGGCAGCGGCATGTTGCATCTTCATGCTGTTCTTCCTGTTACGGATGTTGTCCGAGGACTGGTACACATGGATGCTGCGGGAGAAGAGCAAAGCTTGAGGCTCACCCGGGATCGGGGTCCGCCCCACGTGTGTGTGTCCCCCCATCCTGGGGACGTACCAGCCATCCTCGGTGCCCAACCACATGGAGCTCTGATGGGCTTCAGGGTCAAGGCTGAGGAGGTCCTCGAGGCTGCCCCGGGTGAAGGAGCCGCGGCTGGAGCGGCGCAGGGCTCGCCCGTCTGTGGGGCTCTCGCCGTGCCGGTTTTGGCCGTAGGTGCTGGTGATGGGCATGAAGCTGGGCTCTTGCTCTTCCTCTGAGCTCGTCGTCTCTGCCGTTGCCTCCTTGCAGCTCGGTATCTCTTCATCTGCGAAGGAGGAGGAGAAGAAGGAAGGAATGGGTCAGACCACGACCACCCGACACCCACCAAAGTGACGGGGAAGAGACCATGGGTCCCCTTGCGATGTCAAGCCCGGGGGAGGACGTAGGGATGCTGAGCCCCAAACCCACCAGCTTTTACCCAAAGCCACCAGCCCCATCCCAGCACCACGGGGCTGGGCTGATGCCCCGCAACATCTCTTTTCCCAGGATTTCCTTGGCTCAAAAGCCTCCAGCTGTGGAATTCCCTGAGGAACACAAGGCAGAGTGGGCAAAACGATGGAGCTGCCCATCATCTTAGTAGGGCCTGTAGCAATAGGCCAAAGGGGGAATGGTTTTAAACTAAAAGAAGGTAGGTTCAGACTAGATAGAAGGAAGAACTTTTTTACGCTGAGGGTGGTGAAACAACCTGGCCCAGGTTGCCCAGAGAGGTGGTGGATGCCCCATCCCTGGAAACATTCCAGGTCAGGTTGGACGGGGCTCTGAGCAACCTGATCTAGTTGAAGATGTCCCTGCCCACGGCAGGGGGGTTGGACTAGATGACCTTTAGAGGTCCCTTCCAACCCAAACCATTCTGTGATTCTGTGATTTTTGGGGCAAAGAAGTGGTTTTTCGCTAAGCAGGGACTCACTCCCGAAGCTGGAGGAGATGGTGGAGTGGCTGGCTTGGCTCTGCAGCGTCCCCGAGGGACTGGGCGAGGACTCGTCATCCGTGTCATCGCTATCGAAGGGCACCAGCTCCCTGTTGCCGCCGTCGACCGGCTCCGAGAGCTCCAGCGATGAACCCGAGATGGAGATGTGCAGGCACGGCTGCGGCCCCGCATCCTCCGGCTGCGCCGGCATCGGCTCCGAGGAGGGGCTGCCCACTGGCTCGGCACGCTCCCTGCCGCGACGAGGGGAGGGGGGAAAGAAGCAGCTCCAGCATCGCCCCGTGCCCGCCGGCTCCGCGGTGCCGGTGGGAATGTCCTACCTATACGCCCGCTTGAGACCGGGCACGGAGGCGATGCAGAGGATCCTGGCGGAGCAGACGGCGATGCACGCCTCTACCGTGGGCTCCTTACGGATGCTGAGCAAACAAACCTGCCCCACGTAACCATCGCTGTTGCAAACCCAAACCTCGTGGGAGCTTTCCGGGCTGCCGTGGCTGGGAGAAGCACAAGAAAACTGCAAGGGAGCAAAAGATGGGATGAGTTGGGTCATTTGGGAATGACGCAGGAGCTCTCGGCATCCGGCAGCAAGCCCACCAGGATGGAGAGGACCACCGCTCCTGTGGGATGCTTGAATCCAGCCACCGAGTACCTGCATCCCGCTCCGTGTCTTCATGATGGGGATGGCCTTGAGGAACTCCGGGTCCAGGCAGTTTTTGCTGGAAGCTGGGAAAATCAAATTGGAGGATGAAGAAGTGATGGAGAAAAGGGGTCTACCAAAGTGGGGGCGTGATGCCAAGCCCACCACCGTGTCCACCTCCCCGGTCCCTGGTGTTACCCAGCTTCTTCTTGGCATCCTCGAAGGCTTGCTCAAAGCCGAGCCGGGCGTCGGGGTTGGGGAACTCAAAGATGAAGGACTCGGTGCCGTCAGCTTTGGTGGTGCTGAGCTCCACCTTGTTGGGGGGGAAGGCCATGCTGAAGGACAGGGATTGCTTCTCCGCCAGCTCCCGGTGGATGGCGGCCATCAGGTCCTTGATCACGTCGTCCAGGCTCTGGGGACGGGGACAACGCTTCAGCTCTCAGGGATGAGCCACCACCAGCCACATGCCTCATGATGCCCCCACCCATCCCCTAGCATTCTTCAGAGGCTGTCCCAACCCCACTGTGGCTTTGGGGCTGGTGACATCTGGGCCCTTAGAGGACACTCATGGCCACCAGCCCTTCCACAGGCTCTCCTTCCCGCCAAGGAGATCCCAGTTGGTCCCCTGGGGAAGGTGTCTGGCCGGGGGACAGCACCAGGGCCACCATGTGACGCTGACCCTGTGCATCCCCAAGCATCCTTCAGAAGCTGCCCCAACCCGCCTTGTGGCTTTAGGGCTGGTGGCACCTGGGTCCTTTGAGGACACTCATGGCCACCAGCCCTTCCACAGGTTCTCCCTCCCGCTGAGGACATCCCGGGTGGTCCCACGGGGAATGTGTCCAGCCAGGGGACAGCACCAGGGCCACCATCCCCATACCTGGTGGGGGAAGCTGAGGGTCTCCGACAGCTTGCTGACTTGCCCCAACGTGCTGAGGTCTTCATCCAGGCGGCAGATGCTTTTCTGGATGCTCTCCCGGTTGGTGGCTTGCGAGGCACCTGTGTGGGAACATGCGCATGGCGTTAACCCCTTCCTCCCTGGCACTGCACAGAGGAACCTTCTCCCCGCCAGCCAGGGGTCAGCGATGGGTTTTGGGGTGGGACGGGACACTCCAGCAGGCAGTGACAGACCTTTGACGATGTCCACGTCCTCCAGCGGCAGCTTCCAGAGCAGTTTGTACTTGCTGGCGGTGTCGATCACGCTGGCCGCCGTGTACCTGCGAGGTTGAGGGGGGATGGCTGAGCTGCACCCTAAAGACAGCCCAGCTGGTGGGGATGGCCCTAACGCCGTGGGTTAATGGCGGTGGGTGTCCCCCGGGTGGTACTCACAGGCTCATGGAGCTGCGGCGGAGGGAGCCCGACTTGCGCTTCAATGTCGTGCACACCAGCAGGTCCGTGAAGAGGAAGAAGGAGCGGTCCTTCTTCCCACCCACCGCCTTCTGCAGAGTGGTGGGAGACACCAAGGGGTTAACGGCCAGCCCACCCCTGCTGCCAGCGCTGGGAGCGGTCCCTGCCTCAGTTTCCCCATGTGCTGCCTTGGCACAGGGAGGCTGCGGGGTGGGACGGGTCCCATGCCACTGTCCGCACGGGGACCGGCCGTGTCCTCGTGATGGTGAAAGGTGGGTGAAACGGCTGTGTGGGCAAAGGCACAGGGTCCCACTCGGAGGGAAGCACCAGGGCCATGGGAACACCAGGCATGGGCTCACCAGGACACCATGCGGTCTCCAGCCTCCAGCCTCCCTATCCACCCCCGGCCTGGGGCTGCTGCAGGCTCTCCCTGCCTCCTGCCTGCTCCCAAACCCATCTTCCCCCATATACTTGGGGAATTTTATATTGCCCCATCGATCTGTCATCCATCCATCTGTCCATCCTTCCATCCACCCATCCTTATGTCCACCCATCCATCCATCTGTCCAATCTTCCTTCCTTCCATCCATCCATCCATCCATCTGTCCATCCTTCCATCCACCCATCCTTATGTCCACCCATCCATCCATCTGTCCAATCTTCCTTCCTTCCATCCATCCATCCATCCATCCATCCATCCATCCATCCGTCCATCCTTATAAAATCATAGAATCATAGAATATCTCGAGTTGGAAGGGACCCATAAGGATCATCGAGTCCAACTCCCCGCTCCTTGCAGGACTACCTAAACCATATGACTAAGAGCATCATCCAACACTTCTTGAACTCTGACAGGCTCGGTGCCGTGACCCCTTCCCCGGGAGCCTGTTCCAGTGACTGACCACCCTCTCAGTGAAGAACCTTTTCCTAATGTCCAATTTGAACCTCCCCTGATGCAGCTTCCATCCATCCATCCATCCATCCATCCATCCATCCACCCATCTGTAGCCTCTCATGGGCACACAGGCATCCCATGACCCGCAATCATAGCCTCCCACTGCCCCATCCGGTGTGCGGTCCCATGGCCCTGATGGCGACAAGGGACCACCCCGCTCTTACCACTTCCACGACCATCTCCTGACGCAGGAACCTGCGGAGCGGGGCCTGGAGCTGTGGGGACAAGGAGGATCATGAGTGGGGAGCCCCGGGGGGGACCCTTGTGGGCTTCGTCCCTGCCCCTGCAACCCCCCGGCTCAGAACTGGCACCCCAACCCCTTCCCAAACCCCCAGGAGCCCACCAAAGCCAAGTGATGATGGGGAAAGCAGGACCCGGAGAAGAAAACAAGTGGCCCAGCCTGGGGTGACCCAGACAGAACAGAAATGGTTGCATTTTGGGGAGAAGGAAAGACCGATCCCGTGTAAGACCCCCGTACGTACGTCCTCCATCCCTTCGATGTGGGACTCGATCTCCTGCACGATCCGGGCATTCCTCTCCACCTCCTCTGCGCTCTTCATGCCCTTGTTGATCCTCTCGGCCACTTGCTTGATGTTGCGCTGGGCGTCGATAAGGAAAGGGTGGTCGGGGTGGTCCTCTGGCGTGTGCTTCAGCAGGTCCTACCACGGGGACACAGCCCAGACGTCACCACGGGCAAAGCCTGGGCATCGGCGATGCCAAGACATCCCCAAGTAAAAGCCCTTACCGCGCTGCTCTGGCTGTTGGGGATGGAAACCAGCCCCATGCAGGAAAGGTTTTGCAAAGAAACGAAGCCTTGAGCTTTGGCCACCACCAGCCTGGTCTTTGCCACCTCTAAAGAGGCCACCAGCTCCTGAGAGCACATCATCACCTTGCACGGACGCCCAAAATTCATCACTGGAAGTGCTCAAGGTGAGGTTGGACGGGGCTTTGAGCAACCTGCTCTAGTTGAAGATGTCCCTGCCCACGGCAGGGGGGTTGGACTAGATGACCTTTGAAGGTCCCTTCCAACCCAAACCCTTCTGTGATTCTATGAAAGCGCATCCCCACCAGCCTCAGCGCCAGGGAGAGTGACCCTGGCATGGGGAAACTGAGGCACGGAGGGGGTGGCAGTGCGACTGGTCCCAAAATGGCGCTGCCACGTCCAAGCTCCCAGCAGAAGGGTGGAGGGGAAGGGGACTGCACACCCGTCGGGACATGCTGTGGGGGACAGCGGGGTGACAGTCCTCAGGGTGACCATCCCCAGGAGAGCAGAGCCGTGCGCATGCCTGGGGACACCAACTTTGTGTCAAGGGATGGGAAAAGAGGCCGGGAGAGACGCGAAACCCCTAAAAGCTCCCGTTACGTGGAGGTGAGGAGGAGCCGTGGTCTCACCCGCTCCCAGCACGGCACAGACGTCCTCCTGCCTGCACCCGGCTGTCGGCACCCACCTTCACCAGCAGCTCGTATCGTGGGATCCTCTGCACCGGCTTGATCATCAGGTCGGACAGAGCCTGCTTCTCCTTATTCTCCCGCATGCTTTGCTGCAAAACACCGGTAGGGGACAAGGACGGACCCGTTAGGTGGGACACAGCAGGGACCCGGCGTGCCACCAGCCCAGGACCTGGAGCAACACCCATTTGGGTTCAGGGTGACTCCTTTTTTACACCGTCCGGAGTGACTCCGGTTCATCCCAACCTGGCCTCTTTGCAATAAAACCAAGAAGGTGGGGGGAAAAAATCCCGGTCTGACCATAAATTACCAGTTTACTCCCATTAACCCCCATCCCGCCCCACCAGCAGCCTCGCAGGTGGCTATGGGCCGGTTTTGCAAAGAAACGAAGCCTTGAGCTTTGGCCACCACCAGCCTGGTCTTTGCCACCTCTAAAGAGGCCACCAGCTCCTGAGAGCACATCATCACCTTGCACGGACGCCCAAAATTCATCACTGGAAGTGCTCAAGGTGAGGTTGGACGGGGCTTTGAGCAACCTGCTCTAGTTGAAGATGTCCCTGCCCACGGCAGGGGGGTTGGACTAGATGACCTTTGAAGGTCCCTTCCAACCCAAACACCCTTCTGTTTCTATGAAAGCGCATCCCCACCAGCCTCAGCGCCAGGGAGAGTGACCCTGGCATGGGGAAACTGAGGCACGGAGGGGGTGGCAGTGCGACTGGTCCCAAAATGGCGCTGCCACGTCCAAGCTCCCAGCAGAAGGGTGGAGGGGAAGGGGACTGCACACCCGTCGGGACATGCTGTGGGGGACAGCGGGGTGACAGTCCTCAGGGTGACCATCCCCAGGAGAGCAGAGCTGTGCGCATGCCTGGGGACACCAACTTTGTGTCAAGGGATGGGAAAAGAGGCCGGGAGAGACGCGAAACCCCTAAAAGCTCCCGTTACGTGGAGGTGAGGAGGAGCCGTGGTCTCACCCGCTCCCAGCACGGCACAGACGTCCTCCTGCCTGCACCCGGCTGTCGGCACCCACCTTCACCAGCAGCTCGTATCGTGGGATCCTCTGCACCGGCTTGATCATCAGGTCGGACAGAGCCTGCTTCTCCTTATTCTCCCGCATGCTTTGCTGCAAAACACCGGTAGGGGACAAGGACGGACCCGTTAGGTGGGACACAGCAGGGACCCGGCGTGCCACCAGCCCAGGACCTGGAGCAACACCCATTTGGGTTCAGGGTGACTCCTTTTTTACACCGTCCGGAGTGACTCCGGTTCATCCCAACCTGGCCTCTTTGCAATAAAACCAAGAAGAAGGTGGGGGGAAAAAATCCCGGTCTGACCATAAATTACCAGTTTACTCCCATTAACCCCCATCCCGCCCCACCAGCAGCCTCGCAGGTGGCTATGGACCTCGGCCAGCATCTATGGGGAGAGGAACCAGAACCCACCTCCAGGAACTTCATGAATGCCGGCCGGGCTTCCTTGGCGATCCTGACGGCATCCTTGGCATTGAGGAAGTTATCGATGTAGGCAGAGTAGATGTTCACCAGCACGTCCTTGGAGAACTGGGAGGGGAAAAGAAGGGGGGGGAAAAGGGGCTAGGTCCAGCATGGACCTCCCGGGCAAGCCTGGAAGAAGCTGCCCCAAGGGTTAATCCTGGCTCTGGGCTGGTGCGGGGAGGGCTCGCCTGCCGCCCGCCCCCCTCGATTTTTCAGCCCTGACATTTTTGCTCCCGAGGCAGAAACGCCGAGCTGCAGACCCAGCCGGTCGCCGCAACACCCTGCCGTTACGCTAAGCAGACTGCAGGCCTGGAGATCGTCTCCTGTTCTCCATCTCAGGCGTGTTTGGCCCGTCCTTTAATCACTCCCCTGCCTCCTGCTCCAAAACTTCTCCTGCTGGGACCATGTCCGAGAGCGGGCATGCCTGGGTTCCCTGGGGGAAATCCACCCCGCGAGGACCTACCGACTGCACGAGGAGGTCTCCCACTTTCTGCTTCTCGTGCCAGTTCTGCACGCAGTCGTGGATCTGCTCCAGGAACTGCTCGTGGTGCTCCAGCAGCTCGGGGATCTGGTCGAAGATCTCATCCACCAGCGATGGGTCACACAACAGCGAGTTCTCCGGCTGCTTCAGCGGCTTCATGTAACCCTGCGGGGAAGAAAAGGCATCGGGGTCCGCACAGATTTCTTTTCCCACCCCCTCAATATGAATTTTCCAACCCCTGTAAATATGGGGATCGGTGGCATCCTGCAGCAGGGGGTTCCCCCAGTGAACGTTGGGTTGTGGGGCCCATCAGAGCGACCAGACAGTGTTGGGTCCCAGCAGGTTTTGCATCCCAGGCCCCCCCGGGTCCCACCCCACCCAGTGCATCCCCACAGCAGAGCTGGGAGTGGGGCAGGTCTGCACGAGGAACCCCCAAAGCACAGCGTCCTCTGTCCCCCAGCCACGGCCTTGAAAGGCTCCAAACCTTTGCTGTCGTGAGCCTTGGTCACCTCCATCTGCTACAGAGCCTGACCCAGCTGGGGAATCACGGCAGCACGACCCTGGGATCCAAAAGCCGGTGGGTTCCCGGCAGGATTTAAGGTGTTTGGGACCGGGAGGAGCTGGATTGAGCGGGGTGGAGGCACCAGGTCAAGCCCTGGACCACCTCGCCATCAGCATCTCTTGGGCATAGGCCAACGAGCGATGCTCAGGGTCAGTAGGAAAAGTGGGACAAGAGCAGGTCCTCTGCAAGGCTGGGTGGGCAGCTCCGCTACGAAACCCCTTTCCTCCCCCCGTGGGGTAGAGCTGCGGAGGGGAGCAGTGCCCCCGGGAACGGGAGAGCTGGATTTGCAAGGGATGCAGGATGAGGAAGGTCTTCTCAGGCCTTGCCTTCTCCTCAGCCCAACCAATATGGGGTGCCGGTGTCCTTCAGGATGTTGGGAGGACCATGGAGCTGAGCGGTGAGGACAGGACCCACCTCGAGCTGCTTTGGACATCTCCATCCAAGCTGGCGAGGGAGGAATCGTCCCCCGAGGATGAGGTTCCTCAGGCTGACAGTGGGTATCTCGTGAAAACTCAAGTTAGAAGGGCCAAATCCTTCCTGAGGCTCATAACGTGCCTCACCTGCCCTACTGTGGCCAACACCTCCAGCAGGAGCTGGGCTGGGCTGTGCCATGCATCCCACCTGCTCTGAAATTGGGGGAGCGAGGACCAGATGGGGAAGAAGAACACGGGGACAGCCCCTGCCTTGGCACACGAGGAGCACAGGCAGGGCTTGCCCATGCACCAGCTGGCTTGGCTGGAAGATGATGCTCCAAGGTGGTCCCTGTTCCCGGTAGCCACTGTGCTACATGCCACCGGGCCACATCATAGATCCAAGCACCTCGTCCCAGCTCAGACAGGGAGCTGGGGGCGTCTGGAGCCCTGTGACCCCCCCCCCCGAAATCCAGGCCCCCTGGTTGCACCGTGCCAGGACGTGTCCCACAGGCAAGAGGTCAGGCGTTAACGCCCTGTGGCTCCCACCCATGTCCCACCAGTCCCTCCAGTGGGGAACCGGTGAGCCCCAGCACAGCCATCCTCTCTCCAACCAGCCTCCTGGTCCCACCTCAGAGGAGGACACAGCCCATGGCACAGCCTCTGTCCATGCCAAGACCAGCAGGGACACCACCCGACCCCAAACCCTGTACAGCTTCCCCCAAAATAAGCTCCAGAGCCAGGGTCCTCTTGCCCCTCCAAGCCAACATCTGCACTAGAAGCAGCCTCGAAGGGTCCTTCCCTCCTGCAGCAACATCTGGCAGAGCACATCTGGGTCCCCCATGGGGGCATCCTCGCAGGGGATTTACGGGGGAAGCCGGGTGTTGGGATGATGGGTGCCCCATGCCCTCCTGGACATGCCCAGCAGATGTCCTACAGGCACCGCTTCGTATCGAGCAGAGCAGAGCTCTGATTTTTTTGGTGTTTCCACCTGCAGCGATGTGGTTGGACAACCCACACCTACGCCAGCGTGACCTAGTCTCCAGGGCGTTGACCACCATTAACCTTCTGAAACGCCTTCATTAACATCTGAAACGTGGGGTGGACCCTCCGGCCAGGCTGCTGCAAGGGGGTTGGAGCCAGCTCAGTAAAAAAAGGACCGAGAAAAACCCTTGGCCCATGGCTGCAGGTGATGACGCTGAGCAGAAAATGGGGGGACATGGGAACGGGGGGTCTAAGGGGTCCCCCATCATGGGATGGCCATCAGCAACAGCCCAGGAGATGGGGTGCAACATGAGGAAGAGCTTTTGGGGGGCAAGCATGGGAAGGGGCTTGGGGACACGATACCCAGCAGGTGAAAACCCACCAGGAACGTTACGGGCTTGATTTGGGGGGCAGAGGTGACCCCCACACCCCATTCTTGACCCTATTGCCATGCTACTCCCATCTCTGGTCCTGCTGTCCCCAACATCCCCACTGCCACCCGTCCCCAATCCATCCCCGTGCCGCATCAGTGCTGGTAGAGCACCCATGGCTGGGGGTCCGACTTGGGGTCCTGGGGACGGTGACAAGCAAGGGACGATCACGCTGTGACGTGGTTTGGGGTGCCACGTCCCCGGCCGTGCCGCATTACCTGCATCAAGGTGCGCAAGGACTCCACGTAGGACTGCTCCGTGTCCAGCAGCGTCATGATGACGTGTTTCCTCATGTCCTGCCCGGGTGGAAAGAAAGACAAGATGAGTTTTGGGGTGACACGATGGAGGGGAGCTACGTGGCGGGTGTCGGTGCCGGCGCGGGGGCTCCGCGGGGTGGCTGAACGCCGGAGGAGCCCGGCTGGCGTCCAGCTCCCCTCCGCTCCCTCTCCACCCCGATGGAGGAATCCGGGAGGATTAGGAAGTACATGACACCGAGCGCACAGAGACGCCTGGTTTCCTCCGCGGCCGCGTCAGGAGCCCGCCCTGGATCTCACAGCCCTACATGGGTCGGTCCCGGCGCCCTCCGTCTCTCCGGCGGCTCCGCTCGGAGCGGTCCCGTAGGAATTCGCCTCCCGCCCGGCACCCCGGGCACCCCAGCGCTGGGCTGTGGCCCCGCAGGAGGGGGATTAATGGGGTG